TTTCCTTTTTCTTGGCGAACGCTATAAAATTTTCACTCTCCATATAAAATTAGATCATTCATTGTTGTTAATAAGAAATACTTTCTTTTCTGAGTTAAATAATTCATTATTCATCGTAATCCAAAGAAAAAACATTCGATTTCCTTAAAATTTCCTCATCCCGTACTTCATTTTTCATCTACAATTTTGAGTTGATTTTCTATCAACTATAATTTAAACAAGCATTTATACAATTTAAACAAAGATAATTTAAATAGCGTAGATAATTTGTCTTTTTGAAAAATATTTAACAATTTGAAAAGTTGTGTTTTCATTGTTGTTGGTGTGTCAAAAGCTGTCTCGAAGTAACATCTGTAACAAATTACGATTAATAAATCTGTCAGGTACTTCCAATACCACTTTCAAATGCAGTGTTATTTCGAGAGAGAGAAAATTACAATTATTGAAGATAACGTTTATGTATTTGGACGCATTCGTCACATTTTGATGTCATTATTGCATTCTGGCTGATATACTTGCTTATCGGTAGTCTCTCCACGATGAAACATCGAGAAAACCTGGGCGCAGTATTGCTGTAGCTTCTATTTGCCTTCTGAATAAATGTATGCTTGTTTGTGAATCTATAAGAAGCCACTGCTAGTACAAGAATGCCAATTAACAGTAAAAAGGATAGTTCGTTGACGAGGTTCCACTGCTGTGGATCGGAATTAGAGATCTTTTGCATTTAGGTGCATTCTGCGATTTCAATAAAGAAATGAAACCCACGACTGGAAGTGATCCAGTCAAGCCAAGTCACATGTGGTTGAATCTTTAGAAAGAGACGTTCTTTACCCTAAAGTGCACCAGGAGAGTATAAACATTTTTCAACCATAAATGTTTTGACGGTTTATATCCATCGGGTAGACATTTCAGCTTGTGACTGCGCCGGCTCTCAAGGGATTCTGATTGCGTGGAGAGGCCGCATGAATTCGATATCATCGGCATATCGCTTTGTTGTAATAACGCTCATTAAATGTTCCCTGGCCTTTGATGGTCTTTGTGTTTAAGCCGCAGTTTGTCGTCCATACACTCACGTCTGCGTGTATCAAATCAATATCTAGATTAATTGCACGTGCAACTCTTCACTGATCTCATTAGAAGACAGTTTTAATGGAAGATATATTGTTCATAGTATGATACTAAGAGTGATGGAAAAAATTATACGTAAAGTCTTTGATGGTCAATGAGAAATTATACAAATGCATGTTATTTTAAAGTTATTTGAGGATTGGTATGGTGGCATTAATTAAAAAGAATACATGTGTGATTGGTTTTTAAGAAGGTCCAATTGAGGTGGTTTATAGATAAAGGGCAAACAGCCTTTGTAGAGGACAACTGTTAAATGCCCAATCCTGTAGACTCTGTTTTGGAGGATAAGGGCTATGCTTAGAAAAGTTTTTTTTTATTGTGCTGAGAATTTCCATATTGATTACCTTTGTAAGAAGCCTTTTGTTTTCTAATTGCCATTGGCTATTTTTAAGTATTTGTTTTGCGGAGTTTCCTTTACAACCTGTGGAAAGAAAATCTTATCGGGTTTTGAACAACGTAAATATGTTTTGATTTTATAGGCTTTCTAAAACGTATATCTTTACACGGTGTATCCACTAAATTTAAATTATTACTTGTTTTTGAATGGCTTAAAAACTGTTTTTGCATATTGAACATGTTGTATTCAAAAGTGTGAAAAAGCACGAATTTTCATGTCAAGTACAACTTAATTTCAACCATTCGGAGGCATATTTTTTGTGCTCCAAGGACTGAAGTTATACCGAGCTCTTCCACCTCCTTCCCAAATAATAAAATAATCCTGAACCCTAATTCTTTGTTAATGTTGGTTGTGACGAGCGTGTGTATGTGCTCGTGTTGCAGGCAGCAGCAGCTCCAGCAGCAGCAGGCGGCGGCGGCGGGCAAGGGCAAAGGCAAAGGCAAGGGCAAGAAGAAGAAGCAGCACGCGCGCGCGGAGGGCGGCGGCGCCTCGAGCGACAGCGACGACTCTGGCTCCTCCTCCAGCAGCTCCTCCTCCTCCTCGTCGTCCAGCTCCTCCTCCAGCAGCTCCTCCGACTCGTCCAGCGACGACGAGGACGACGACGACTCGTCCTCGTCCAGCAGCGACTCTTCGTCCAGCTCGGACGACGCGTCCAGCGACTCCAGCTCCAGCAGCTCGAGCTCGTCGACGGCGGCGGCGGACAGCGACGCGGCGG